TATTGATGCTTAATTTTAAAACACTCGACTTATGTTCCTCTAATTTTTGAAGAAAGAACTGGACACCTTTCAAGTAGACGGGTCATTTATTAAACATCACGGTTAAACTTTTCAAGAAAGTCAATTACAAGGTTGTTAGTTGTTTTGGTGACAAAAAAAAAAAGAAGTTACAATCACTGACAAACTAACTTTCTTTACTTAGCAATAGAAATGTTTTTTAAAAGATGTTTAAACTCGACATAATCCATCTTACACATTTATAAATCTACTATTCGTCAATGCATTGAATTGTGCTGCTATATCTGATCTGGTCTGGTGCTCCAGTTATAGATCTAGAAATTCTTGACAAAATCCAGAGAAGAATCTGTAAAGTCCTGACATTTCAGTTTCAGTCATTTTCCCATCGCGATTTCAATTTGTTTTTTCTATAAACATTTTCATGGCATTTGTTCTAATGAGCTCTCCTTCTCGACCGCATAAATTTAAGTGTAGGTGGCATGTTGGAGTAATGGATAGCGGCCCGGATTGAGGAATACACAAAAGAATAATATTGTTCACTATACGGCTCGGATTGAGGAATCGGAGATCCGAGTTCGAAATCCAGTCGAATCCATTGCATTTAATTACTTGCTAACACTCTTGGGAAAGATACCAATACTCTTCTTCTCCCCACCCCAGCTATAGGTAAATAGCAGAACAGACCGGATTCTATAGCCTTTGATGGCAACTGGTCTACCGCAAAAAGAAATGGCAACCTACTGCGGGAGAAATCTGACTCGTCAGTCATGTATCGAAAGATGCATGATCGCCTAAGCGTGTATCACGCATGGCACATGCCGAACCGAACTAGATTGGCAATTAAGTCTCACATTTTTACGATTGAACTAACTAGATGCAACCGGAAGTTCTATTCCAATAGTTTATTTCCTCGCACTTTTCGCCTATGGAACTCTCGGTTTCTTGATCTCTGTCACCTATGCTCTTCAAAGAATTTAAATGCAACGTCAATCGCCATCTTTTGTCTTCCTGAATCCTGCTCATTTATTGTTCTTTCTCTTCACTAAAGTTTTCTCATTCTCTTTCACTCTCAGTAACCCTTGGCATCTTAGTGACACATTATTGCCTTGCTTGAGGTAAAATTATTAAAAAAACAAACACACGTACAGTGAACAACATTATTCTTTTGTGGATTCTTACGACTTTACAGTCTAATGTATAAAGTTAGGTATGTCGCATGGTGAACGGTAATAATGGCACAGGTAATAATGGTAGGAAAAAATGGCACAAATGAGAAACGCTCTTTAACTAGCTTGAAATTAAACAACAGTAGCTGTTTATTTTTAACTATTTAAAGTTATGTGGACTTGGTCAGAACATACAATTCTCGTTATTAAATTCTTTTTTTAAAGGTTGATATAAACATATTTGATTTTATTATAATTGTTTTTTATGAATTTTAAACTTATAAGATTATATTAACAAATGGGGATAAAACAATCCTAGTTCTTTTCTAATATTAAAAAATAAATAAATAATTAAAAGCTTTTATGTATATTTTTAAAAGATTAGATTTAATTCAAAACCATTTTTGCCAATAGTATATATTTCAATATAAACTTATTTTTCCTAGTTTTTCACTTGTGCCATTTTTTCATATTTTTCCACTTGTGCCTTTTTTGCCGTGCTATTATTACCTAAATTCGTGTGACATAGTTCAAATTATCTAGCATCAACAATAATACATCGCTAATGTGTCCAGTATCCGTGTATAAGGATAATGATGATGTCATAACAAGTAAAGAAATTTAACGTACAAGATTACACATATGTGCCACTCCTAACGAATCTACAAAGAATAGAGGATGAATTCTTTATCCAAAGAATTCTTTTGGGTCTTTTTTTTTTAACAATCAAGATGAGCAGGCTGGTTCGTATAATCATTTTTTAAGCAAAGCTCAAACTACATTTCTGCCTGTTAGTTTCACTTTCACATATACGCAATTTCAAAATCTACCTAAGCACCATTTTTACCATTCTTAAAAAAAAGTTCTTTTTTTTACCTTGTGTTAAATAGGTTAAAATAGACATTAGTTGGATAAGAAGTAAAATTTAAACTTGTTTTTTTGTCATGTTCCGATCGATTATAGAGTTTCGTGGTAAAAAAGTGTGTAGGTGTGGGCACAAGAATATTTCTTTGCAATTTCGGAAATAATTTATTTTACTAAAACGTTTCTTCAAACTAATTATAATACTTACATCTTTGGCTATCTTTGGAATTTATCTTAAAAATCTTGTCGGCATTAAATAACTCATTGAGGTTGATATTGCAAAACACACCTAACCTACACAACCCCCACTTTAGGTAAAAAGTTTGAAATAATTAAATCAGAAAATAAAAGTCCAACATCAATCTTAACATAATCTTGGTAAGAGGCATGGTTCTTCTTCTGTGCCGTGTCTCTTCAAGACATTAGCAATCCACACTTTGTAGGTTTTAATAAATTTTGTCTTTTTGTTATTTCTCAAAAAAAAAAAAAAAAAAAAAAACTTGCTTCGTCATCCATTTACTCAAGCTCGCTAGATAGGTTATGCGTTGTTGCCCTCTGTCCCTCTTGCTTTCAGTCTGTCCTGTGAGTATCAAATTTTCCAAGCCCTCATTTCTCATTATGTGCCCTAGAAATTTCAGTTGTCTCTTCCTGATGCTAAGTCTAAGTGTTCTTTTTGTTTCTATTTTCTCTGGCTGTTTATTGCCAGTATAGGTTCTGGAATCCTTGAAATAGTGAGAGTCATATACAGATACTCAGGTTCATTGGAATAAACAAAAGAAAAAGGTAAATAAAAAAAAAGAAGAATCGATTGATATGAATTATACTCGAAGAGAGACAAATGAGAATAATGATTATTCAATAATCTATTCTTGTGAATTGAATAAAGGAAAGGGCTTGCTACTTCTTCAATTTCTTTTTTTAGAAGATTAATGAATAATGCGATAGACATTGAAGCAATGAAGACTGACCGAATGAACCACGCCTAAAAAGTTATGGTGACCATAACAAAAATAAGGACATTAATATGGTAAATGCATGCTAATCTTATTTTTATATCGTGGACATTTAGACAAACACTGAGATTCATTTAATTTTTCTCGCTGTTTTCATTGCCAACCTTTAAAAACAAAATCGGGTAGGTTAGGTTGTTTGGGCAAATAAATAATACTTTTTTAAATAAAGCTACACACAATACTACAACAGCTGGCCGCTTGTATTTTTTTTCAGTTCGATGTTCAACATTTCAACTCTGATTTCAAAATTTCCGAATAGTCATACGAATAAAAATGTCTTTCGAAAATTTTTTGTATTTTTTTCAGTTTCGAAAGGTTATAATAGCAATAGCCGCTATGTATACATTCGAACTTAAATTTCTTTCAAAATATCTACTAAATTTTAGTTAAGTCAAAAGTTGAAACAAATTCAAATATGATGATTTAAAATCAGAAGGGTTAAAAACGAAAGGGAAGGTCGATTGTTTGGTCAAGTAGTTTTTACTATGAAAGAAAGCTTGTTCCTTTTTTTTTTAGTAAAAAAAAAGAAAAAAAGAAACAATACGGCCGTTTGGCTACGCAATAAAAATTCGTAAAATTATGTAATAGTCTAGCTAGAATATTCTTTTTAAACCTGATCATTTAGATATGTTTATTATTTTTCTTTTTCTTTTTTTCTAATTAAACAAACAAAAAAAAACAACATTTATTTTTAATCACTCTCACAGTCAACCGAGATCACAATTTCGTACTGGGCAGTCATAAATTAGATACTAGCATTATCTGAGGTAATTCGTAGATTACAGAATGAAATGGTGAGATTATCAAAATTACACACCTTTTAAAAAAGTTAGGGAAATGAAAGACAAAGGGACGAAAAATAAAAACCTTTTTTAAGAGGAAAAAAAAAACAAAGTAAAAGACAAAAAAAAAAAAAATGAAAGAAGAAGGAAAGAGGGAAATTTTTAAAAAGTGTGGGGGCTCTTTAAAAAAAAATAACGAAAAAAAAAAGGACTGTAAAGGAAGACTAGAGAAAAAAAAGAAGAGAAAATGATAAAGAGAGTGGAAAAACAAACAAAAAAACACAAAACAAATCCGAAGATGTTGATAAACACTCACAGATGAAGATGAAAAATAACACACAAAAAATGGCATCAGTTAAATAAATTCAAGATAAACCGAAACGTGTCAAGTTTGAAAAAAAAAAAGTCCCCATACTTCATGCATCTACACTACAACAGGAAAAGTAAGTTTATAACTGAAAGTTATCAGATTTTAAAACACTTTCTGCAATATGATTTTATACAAGTATTTACCCGTGGTGGGCGGTAGGGATTCGGAATAAATTTTCCCGGGAGTGGTGTGGTGAGGACCTTAGGTCGCTAGTGAGGGAAGAGCAATGAATTAGCAACACCGAGAAGAAAAAGAACAGAAGAAATTGGGATAGGGAAGGGGGGGGGAGAGGGTTTGACAAAAAATAAAAAAAATAAAAATGTAAAGGGCTAGTTGGAGGTATGTAGCCAAATCCCTAGAGAGGTTTCCACACATCCTCTTCCGCACTCGTCTGATTTCACACCCCACATTCTGCTGTTCCTATGGAAACAGAAAATTAATGGAAATATTTATGGGGCCCAGTAATAAAAGATCCCCACCTCAATAACTCGTCACCCAAACCTCATGTTCATTTTCATTTTTCCATCACTTGAAATAATCACACATTTGTAAGAGGAGAGAAGACAAAAATGGTGAAAGAAATGAAGACCCAATAAAAAGAAGAGAAGAAAAAAGGAGGAAAAGAAAGAAGAGAAACAGTTGAAGGAAGATTAAGGTGATATAAATAAAAAAAAAAGTAAGAAGATATAAAAGGAAACGGAAGAAAAAAATATAAGAAACGGAAAAAAAAGAAAATGAAAAATGAACAAAAAGCACAAACAGGGAATACTGACAAAAAACAGAAGACAGAAAGTAAAGAAGAGAGAGAGAAAGAAAGAAGAGAGAGAAAGAAAGAAGAGAGAGAAAGAAAGAAGAGAGAGAGAAAGAAAGAAGAGAGAGAGAAAGAAAGAAGAGAGAGAGCTAAAGTAAGAAGAGAGAAAAAGGAGAGAGAGAAATAGACGATACAAAAAGATAAGAGATAGAAAGTAAAGAAGAGAAATAAAGAAGAGAAAAAAAGAAAGAAGAGAAAGAAAGAAGAGAAAGAAAGAAAGAAGAGAAAGAAGAGAGATAAAGAAAGAAGAGATAAAGAAAGAAAAGAAAGAAGAGAAAGAAAGAAGAGAAAGAAAGAAGAAGAGAAAGAAAGAAGAAGAGAAAGAAAGAAGAAGAGAAAGAAAGAAGAAGAGAAAGAAAGAAGAAGAGAGGAAGAAAGAAGAGAAAGAAAGAAAGAAGAGAAAGAATGAAAGAAGAGAAAGAAAGAAGAGAGAGGAAGAAAGAAGAGAAAGAAAGAAAGAAGAGAAAGAAAGAAAGAAGAGAAAGAAAGAAGAGAAAAGAAAGAAAGAAAGAAAGAAAGAAGAGAGGGAAAGAAAGAAGAGAGATAAAGAAAGAAGAGAGATAAAGAAAGAAGAGAGATAAAGAAAGAAGAGAGATAAAGAAAGAAGAAGAGCGGAAGAAAGAAGAGAGAGGAAGAAAGAGAGCTAGCAAGAGAAAGAAAATATAGAAAAAGAAAAAAGAAAAACAAACGATGTTGAAGTATCTTAGATTGACATGGATGAATGAATAGTAAGGAATGGTAGTGATGTTATTGTTGGGTGACGAGATTGAAAGTTACGAATAGACAGAAGAAATTAGACTTCTTCGGATGCATCTGCATTGGCGACCAGATACACACCATTATTATTATTATGCCATGCAGGGAAGTGTATGAATGCAAGCGTGCAAAAACGTGCATACGAGCACCCCCATATCTAACTATCTATATATATCTATCAATCTCTTAAGGAAATGAACGTATCTACGAGAGTAAGTGCACATGTATGCGTTCACCCATAAAAATAATCACGCGAACATCACTGACACTGCATCACTATATTCATCTGTAAAGTAAACACACGTCTTTGTTCGCTTGCGAATACACGCTATATTTTATTTTTACGTAAGGTGAATCAATAAATTTAAATAAATACATACAAAAAAAAAGAAAAAAAGAAAAAAAAAAAGCACATTTACAGTTTTATTTAATGCATCTTTTTCTTTGTATCCAATACTAAGTTTTGCTTAGTATGGCACAGTGCGAATAATTCATCCATGGGGATATTGGGGTGGGCTGGGTCAGTACCTTCACTTTTTTGTTAGAAGAATAAAAATTTGCCTTTTTGGTCCCAATCTATGACAATAGAATCGAACTATTGTCTAAGTCTTTTTTTAAAATCATGGCTGTCATTAATTTTCGAAATAAATCATCAGTTAAACAAAAACTTCATCCTGCTTTTTGATTTTTTTCGAAACGTTCATTAGCTTCAGAAACTTTTTTACTTTTAAAAAAATTTAACGCGAAAAAACTCTATACTAGGTCTTTATTCCAGAAAATAAGTTTCTGTTTTTTTAAATGATAATTTTCTAAGCGTATTTTTCAAGGCCGAATGTATGGGGCACCCAGTGAGGATCAAACTTACTCAGTTATGTGCCATGCGTTATACACACTTTAGGTGATGACTGACGAGGCAGATTTTTTTCCCGCAGTAGGTTGCCATTTCTTTCTGCTGTAGACCAGTTGCCATCCAAGGCTATATTTACCCATAGTTTATGAGAAGAGGAGGATTCATATTTCATACCTTTCCCAAAGGTATTATTCACGTAAGCTCTCCGATTCCTCAATCCGAGCCACTATTCATCCACCATAGTGAGACAAGAATATGAATATAAAAAAAATAAATAAATAAAAATCTAAAAATTCTAAGAATAATTAAATTTATGATAGGATCAGATTAAAAAAAAAAAAAAATGAAAAAAAGTCAAGAACGAATCTTTAAAATTTTAGTTTACTTTAACATCTAGCCCAACCTACCCTTTTTAAATTCAGAATTTACCCGACGACATTTTTTTTGATTTTGTGGCGCCGTGTGTAGTGGGCATTCCGTCAGTCTTGAACTCGTTACGCTAGCAAGAACACTAGCTATTTAGCTAAACATCAGTTTTACACACGGTAAGCACACGTACGTGTGTGTGTGTGCGCGCGCGCGCATGTGTGTATTGAGAAAGAGAGAGCGAGAGAGAGACCGTGTACATGTGTGCGCGTGCTTGCAGGTAACTCAGTGGAACTTTAGATTCTTTGTTTTGTCATTTTCTATTGTCACAATCACATCCATTTAAAATTTGACAGGAAGTGAGCAGGAATTCCATTTTTTTTAAACTAATGATATCTTCGAAAGTTCTTCTTAGGTAATTAATTTTAGGTAAAAAGTAAAAACATTCTCAACTCGGGATATAAAAACCAATAGTTCGTTTCTTAGTACAAGTAAAATTCAACGAATATTCTGCCATTATTAGTAGTAAAAAATAGCACCTCTACTCATATTAACTGTGTAGTAACATTTAAAAAAATGATTTAACTTTAAAATGCATGAAATTTATATGCAAATATAACAAGAGACACATTTTTATGTAATAAAATGTGTTTGCACTGCGTACGAGAAAATGCTGAAAGGTTTTTGACCCAACCCATTTCACAAATAACTAAGTAAACATACATTTTTTACAACCTCCTTAGGGATGTACAGAGAGTGTACTGTAATGAATAGCGATGAACAGGGTTCAAATTCCGGGCTTGTTTGTTGCGTTCACTTTCGGATAAATGCTATTGGGAATGGCATGAATCCATCTCCTCCCACACCCAACAGGTTTAAAAATAACAGCGAAAACTGGGATCTCGAGCTTTGAGTGGCAACCAGTCTAAGAGAATGAAAACTGAATTTCAAACAGCGGTCAAGAAACCACCACAATTCACAGAGATTCTTTAATAAAGAAAAGAAAAATGAATCTCTGGAGAGCCATGATCGTCTATGTCCTGAAGAGAAACAGCCTTTACAAAAGAAAAATAAAGTAAAAAAAAAAAGACCACATGTTTGGACGGAAACATTTCTGCATCTCGTATGTAAACCTAGACTAGAGGAAAGCGAAATGTATTAGTATTTCGGTTAGAAACAAAAGATACACATATATATGGGGTGGGTGAAAAGTTCTTAGCCCGACCAAGAAAATAACCATGAACTATGAAACGTGCAGACATTCCATATCTTCAGTCCACGCAGTTCAACGCAACGTATAGTTACTCAAGTTTCTAACCCCCCGCCCATCCACAAAAAATTTTCTTGAAATAGTTACTGATGTTGAGTCGGATAGATAACTTTACAGCACCCCCTCGTAGATAGACATAAGCATGAAAAAGAACTGATGCAAAAAAAAAAAAAAAAAAAAATGTCGAAGAGAGGAACTACTTTGAATTTATTAAGATAGGGTGTATCTTCTGCCACTGTTTTTCTTTCGCTGCTTGAGGGTCAAAGTGAAGCATCAGCTTTTTTTCTTCTTCTAATAATCCAATTTTTAATCCTCATCTCAAGTACAGGATTTTTTTGTTCTTTCTCTCTTAACCACTAGAAGGTCGAGGTGAGGGAAAAGCAGTTTGAGTTAGTAGGTCTCCACAAATTTGTTTCATGGACGGGTTTAGAGAAAAGAAATCTAATTTTTCTATTTTCAATACTCAACAATAATGTCAAATTTACTTAAAAAAAAAAGGTCAGTTTTTAACTTTTTCTACTACCGAAAAACAAAGATTCACACAATTCTACAAACTTCAAAATCCCTCCAAGGACACAGAAATATCAGATTTTTTTCAATCGTTTTCGATTATACGCGCGCGCGCACACACACACACACACACACACACACACAGCTTAAATTTTTATTATTTATGGGGAGGAGTGATATATATCGGGAGATGGTCTGATGATCACTTAAGGTGTGAAACTGCCAGTCACCATGCAATGTTGATAACTATGTCAACACTTTATCTATCTGATTCATATATACTAGAGAGTTACTGAGAAGTTTTTGTTTTGACCAAAAAGCCCTTCCCCACAAAATATTTATGTTTACTTTTGTAAGAAATTTTCGGAAGTAGGGATTATTGGATTCAAGAACTTTTCAATACACATACACACACATGTACGTACGTCTAAAAAAAAAATGATAAGTTTAAAAAATGAAAAATCTTTCTTGAAGCTTTTATTTTAATTTTAACTCCAAAATAATAGATTAGATTTAATATTACCGATAAGCAAAATACTCTACTGTATTTCAAACCGAATTTAAATTGATTTGAATGTTTTTTGGAAATCGCTAAAAATAGTCATATTGACAAGATACTTTTCGAGGAAGATTGACTCATTCTGTACCACTGGTAGTTTTAAAAGAAAATGGAAACAAAAAGGATACTTATACTTACTATCAGAAAGAGTCAGTTAAAATATTTAAGAGCATATTAATGAGGAAAAAGGGCCTGGAAAATTAAGTACTCATAGATAGAGACAGAGGAAGGATGCGCATAATCTACCTAGTGAGCTTGAATAAATGGATGTCAGAAAAAAGTTTAGGAGAGATAACAAAAAGTCAAAATTTATTAAGAGTAGCAAAGGACAGGAAATTGTGGAGAACCATGATCACAAACGTCGTGAAGAGACACGACACACACAAGAAGAAAAATGCAGATGACATTTCGATTATATTTCCATTTTCTTAGTAGGCAATTACCGTGTTTTCCAGCTTGGAAGACGCACCCTAATATTGGAAAGAAATTTCTAAGAAAAAAAAAAGTCATTCTCATACAACACATTCACCATACGTCCCTCACATACTGGCGCCAGGTATTGTTTACATTAATCATTCGTCCGATTTTGTTTGTATGGCAATGACATACTAGTCAAGAGCAGAAAGGCTCTCGCCATTGCTAATAAACAAAGCATAGTTAAGCTTTTGGCTGGGCTCCAGGAAGGTTTATAGTCTTGGAAATACTTGTAATAGCTAAGTACTGAGGTTACATCATATAAAAAAGGCCGAATTAGATAGATAGCTAACATTATACTGTAATGACTCAACATATAAATCCACGTCCCTATCAGTCAAGCCAAATTAGGTGACCATCCAAGCTTACTTGAGCCTAGGCGTTGCCTTAAATTCGTCTTGGAAGACGCACACGTATTTTTCAGGGTATATTTTAGGAAAAAAAAAGTGTGTCTTGTAAACCGGAAAACATGGTATATGAAAAGTTCCATGTTTGGGTTTGACCAATATTCGGATATTTGGTCAGATTTTGGGAAGTTGGCCGAACCGTGAACTTTTCAGTATTCCCTCGTACATGAAACTGAAAAAAAAAAACATTCTATATATTACTGTAAGAAATATTATACGATTAAATTATTTAAAAGTGCGATTTGTCGAGATGTAACCCAAATGTTTTGGGAATATGAACAACGAACGCAAACTGAGTTTAGCAAATAATACAATATTGGAAAAGCAAAAAACGGGAGGATATAGGACAGGTACTCACAAAGATTCGCTAAAAAAATGAGCATATAGGTTAAAAAATTTCCCAAACTTTATAAAAACAAATTTTTATCGTCAAAACCTTTATTCTATTAAAAGGAAAGATTATTAAATTATAATTTTAAACATTTTTTGAACCTTCAAAATTTTAGTTAAAATTTTTTTTTTGCGTCAGGGAATGGCCAGTATGGGAAATTTTATCGTTTTTTTTTTTTGTGGTGGAAAAAAAAGGGAAAAAAAAGAAAAAGAAAAAAGAAGACATTGATTTGGAAATTCTTGCAAAAATCAAATAAGTGTCGGGTTTTAATAACTTTCAGGACTTATTCACAAAACTTCTTAAAATTTTTTTTTTACATCTTGTTACCTCCCACTTATTTAAGTTTATGAAATTTCCAGAAATACATTTTTATAGCGTTTAATTGTCATATTAGTTATAAACAGAAGTCCTTGGAGAATTTAAATCATCAATTTTTTGTTCTCGAAAATCTGCACAATCTCTTTCCATATAAAGAAAATTAATGGCAAAATGGAAAAGGGTTTCGTTCTTTGGCGCTTCAACGGATAAAAAGTGATATTTACGCTGATGTAACTACATATGCACACGAAGGAGAGAAGACGCTGAAGTTTAAACTTATTTTTTTTTAAATATGTGTTTGTGTTTATAGTCTAACCAATTTTATTTAGTTTCTTTTTGCTTATATTTTTATCACTTTTGTTATATTACATTTGTGTTCATTTAATTTAAATTCTTTTATGTTTTTCCCGCGTATTCCTTGTAGAAATTATTACAAATAGGTACCACCAAAGTGGATATTCCCCCCACCCGAAATGAAAGTGTAAAAAAAAAAAAAAAAATCGAAATCCGTTTTAAAATATTTGCCAAAAATCAGGGAATTATCCAATTCAAACGAAATTTTCAGGACTTATTCATTAATGAATGTCTATTTTACTGAATAGGTTATATTATTAAAATACATTGGGTAAATATTTCGGGGAGTGGGTATATTTTCTAATCGCGTGTATACATTTTTAGTTTTTTGGGGGGAGGAGGGGGTCCAAAATTTTTTTTCAGTTATATTATATATATATATATATATATAAAAACCTTAAGGTATTATTTCAGTAAAAGATTTATGGAATATCGAGCGTGACCATATGTAAAATTTGGCTAGCATCTCGCCAAAAACAATTCAATATAACTAAAAAAAAACTTTTTTTTTGCATAATTTAATAAAACCCGTTATTTTCTTTTAGATGCGATAGAAAAAAAATTAAACTTAATATTCTTTTTTAAAAATTACTTGTAATTTTCAGTAGAATTTTTAAATTAATCCTTCTGCTGTTCGTCACAAGAGTTTATTTTATTAAATAAAGACATGTTTGAAGATTCGAAAAATGTAAAGTTTAATGTCATTTTAGAGTGTGAACCTTTTTTAAAAGAATTTTATTTTTTTAAAATTTTTTTAGTAACTGTTAGATTATTTTTGGTATGGATGTATAAAAAGAAAATAATTGTGATATTTTGCGTTGACTGACTACTATTTAATATCTGAAGAGTGTGATGATATTAATTTAATTTCATATCTCCCGTTCCATCTGTATAAAAATAAAATTATTCATTATTATACTAAGTTTTAAGTATAAAAACATATATTCTTAAACTTTTGGTTATATAAAGTTAAAGAAAATTTAGCTGTAAAAATAAATAACAAATTCTTGATTATGGCACTGCTGGTCTTCCGTACTTCTTTAGGTTTTTTTTTTAAACTTTTTCCCGCGCTTTTTTGGTCAGTGGTAGAATGATCATATTTTTACCTTTTCTTTTCACCTCACAGCATAGCGTGCGTAAATGAGACATTATTTTCATTCTGTTTTAGTTTTTTTAAGTAAAAGATAAGCACTACTTTTAGAAAATCCTGCTAATCCTTAAATTTACTAATATAGACTTCGAAACACATCTCCAGGACAAATATTGGATTTTAAAAAGAGAGTTTTACTTTTAAATATGTTGTTTAGTTTAAAAAATTTTTCGTATAAATGCAATAGTGGTTATTTTTTTTTCGATTAGTTTTTTTTTTTAAAAAAAAAAAAACAGAAATTTACTTCAAAGAATGCTTTTTTAAAATTTAATTAAAATATGCCTCAAAAAAGTTTGATTTATACATAGCGAAATTATTCATTTTTAGCATATTATTTTGTTTTGTTACAATTCTTTTATTGTTTTTTTAAAAATGGTTGTAAAAGATTTTTAAGCTTAAAAAAGAAATTATTTTCAATTGTAGGTGTGAGAGAGTTGGTAGGTAAAAATTTATATATCATTTTCTCCCGTTATATAAGTTTCTCGTCTGATCTACTTTTCAGAATCTGAACATCATCAGATTTGTTTTTGAATTTTTTAGTCTGGCCGAGAAATTTTCACCACACCAACGTGTGTGTGTGTGTGTGTGTGTGTGTGTGTATGTGTGTGCGCGCGCGTACGCGCGCATATGTAATTTCGTAATTATAACCCATACCCATAACCCCCGTTTCATAAGAAAATTCTTTTACGAGCGAAGTTCTCTTTGTTTTTGCCTCCTCTCACTCATTTCCCTCCGTACCAACCCTGCGCACTAGACTCACACACGCTATAATCCGACACAGTCGCCAGGGTTGTATGTAGAGGAGGGGAAACACTGTCCTTTCTCGAACTGTGCTTGTATGTCGAGTGCATACAGAAAATTGGAGACAGTTGGGATTTTTTTTCCTATATTACGTTTTTCTCTTCTCATCTGATTTTTTTTTCTCTACGTCTCTCTCATTTGTTTTTTTTTTATCTTAGAAAATACTGAGTCACTCTTGTGCCGTAACCTTTGAGAGCTGGTTAAAGTGAAGCCAAGAAACTGCTCGTCTCCAACTCATTCGAGTCTCTCCCCACCCAACCTACGTAATCCGTTTGCCCACAAAGTCCGTCCAATGACCACTATACAAAGCGCACACGTGTGTGTGTGTGTGTCTTCGTCTTGTGATAAGTTAACGTGTTGGTGTAAAATACGCGTGTGTTTGTAGATTTTGTCTTATAGCTTAAAATGCATATATATTCGAAAACGTTTTTTGTATATTGATAGACGAGATGCAGAGATGATGAGAAAGAAAAAGTTCTATGGATATTTTGTGTGTGTATATGTGTTGGTTGAAGTTCACTTGATAAGTGGAAAGATTTTTTTGGAAGATGAATATCTATCGGTTTTCTTAACAGTGTTTTCGGCTTTCAACTTTTGCAGTGTTTCAAAAGAAAGTATTTTTGAATTTGCGCATGATGATTATGGAAGGACTTTATGAAACTGGTAGTTTTACTAATGTTAATGTACATACAAGTTTTTTGTTTTTTTTTTCAAATACGCACATGCTCGTGCGCGCACACACACACACACACACACACACACACAAAAAAAAAAGGGTTTTTTAGAAAAGTTCTCAGTCTGATCACTTTCCAAAATATGACCAAACATTATTTATTAAGAGCTACAAAAGACAGGAAATTGTGGATAGCTATGCTTGCAAACGTTGTGACAGGACACGGCACATAGAAGAAGAAAAATGCAGATGACTCTTTGATTATATTTCTATTTTCTTAGTAAGCAATACTAAGAGAAGGCACTAAAATTATCTCAGTTCAACCAATATTCGGATGTTTGGTCAGATTTTGGGAAGTGGTTTGTTAGTATTTTTGTTTAGGAACCCCTCCTTGACAGACCCAAGAACTTTTCCACACCTTTGTGTATATTTCATGTATGTGTGCCCCAGAGGTGAGGATCTTGGTCCAAAAGTTATCATATGGTTTTAAAAAGATTCTAATGAGTTTTATGTCACACTATAAATATTTAGAAATGTTTATGTATGCAGGTTTCACTGTTTGTGGATATATGCTTGTGTGTATATATTATAATGACTCAATTTCTGTTTGTGGGTATGTTCATTTGTGACTATAATACAGTAAAAACAACGCATCATAGTAGGATTTTTTGTTAAGGCAAATCATTAAGATGCTCTATTTTGAAGAATAAAACAATTTCTAGCTCAATTTGCAATTTAATAATAATAGTATTGGGTCTGTAATTGCCCTCACTCCGATAATAATGATCTGATTTTTTTAACATTTGTTACAAAAGCTGAAGAGAATCATATTAACATTAAAAGAGGAAAAATTAAAATTTTTTTACTAGTTGCTGCATAAAATGATACCTGCAAAATTATAATGTTATTTTGTAAAAAGAACAAAAAAACAAAAACAAACAAATAAAACAACAACCTGTAAGCCTGGATGTTAAGAATCATTTGATACTAGATTCCCGCTGATCAGGGATTAGAGGAAGTATAAATAAAGTTAATTTTAAATTTTTAATGCAGTTGGAATTTGACTAATTACATAGCAGTCTTTTCTTATTTATTTGTAAACAATTATATAAATTCTATAAATAGAAAGCTTCTTAAAAGCAACTAGCAAAAATTTGAAAAAATCATCATTATTTAAACAGTTATGCATTATAAACAGGATAACAATAAGTAAACAATCAAAAGGTCAATACATAAATGAAGAAATAACATTATTCATTAAAAATAGTAATCACTGACAGTTCTCAGAGGTTCAGTAGCAAAAATATCATTTTCTTTTCTTTGCTCATCTGTTGTGAATACAGTAGCCTGCTGATATATGACTGAATTTGTACAAGAAATTCAGCTAGGCAATTTAATTAAAGGCACATTTGTTAGTAGAAAGAAGGTTAATTAAATTAATAAATAAATTGACAAGTAATAATTGACATTATTTTATAGCTTACATGCGTGTTTGCTAGTTAGGAAAGTTGATTAGGTTATTTTTCTTGGTTCAATCGACTAATTAAATTGGTCCCCAATCCTAAGAAGATATCTATGGGTTTACGACCATATCACGTTGAAACACCGGATCTCATACAATCAATAAAGTTAAACAATGTTGACCTTGGTTAGTACCTCGATTGGTGACCACTTGGGAATACTGTAAGCTTGGATGTGTGGATGGTGTAATGGATAACGGTTTGGAACTGGCAATCAGAGAACTGACTTCCAATTCCAGTCGAGATGGTTGCATTCAGTTACGTGCAAATACCCTTGGAAAATATACAAATCCACTTCCCCCCACCCCCACCCCGGTTAAGTAATAGTATTTGTATTAGTAAATCATTATCCCCCAAAAATTCTTACAATCTAAAAATATTTTCTGGCTTTAAATAACCTGCAAAGGGTTGTCAAGCCATAAAAAATAAACTACTCAATCAATGAAGCTTGCCTTCAATATGTTTTGTGAGTATAAAATTCTCCAAACCTTTCTTCATATTTTTCCAAAGATTTCAGCTCTCTCTTTCTAATTATTTGCTATAGTTTCTTATAGATATGTTCAAGTGAGTTTTCTTTTCTTTTCTGAGATTAGAATTTAGCTTAAAATACACAAAGTTCTGTTTATCTGTACATAATAGATATGCACAAAAACTTAACTCCTTTACTAGGTGCTCCACTATTGTGCCAAAATAAGCTTATATAACTATTAAGTTTAACTTAATTTTAGTAGAAAACACTACTTGAAAACACACAATGAGGATTTGTCTCACTAGTAACCATGTGAAACACGTTTGCTAAATATCATTTCATAGCAGAATTTCAACTTGCCCATATTTTCATAGATTCTATATGTTTAAACATCTCATTATCTATAATTGTATGCATTTGTTAATCTTGTTTATTTCAGCATTTCAATAAATGCCAATAAGTTGGTTCCCTGCTGAAAAAAAACAAAGAACGGACAAAAAGATCTTGCTGTAGTCTTGTAAAATCTGGTTGCCTTCCTTAGTGAAACTGTCAGCAATCAAATTGAAAAACCTCGGGTTCAGAAACAGTCCTGGTTTTTCCTGGTCATTGTGATAGGTGCAGGCGGATGATGTGGCTTGTAAAGAGTCAATATTGATCTGTCAATAGAATGTTTGGTGGTAAACAGAGTGAAGAGGAATTGCCAACTGCAACGGTCTCAGTGATGCTTTAGAAATATTGGTCGTGTTGCATCCCTATCCAACCAATTGCAGACTTGCAATGTCAGCTCCCATTATTGCATTTTTGTTGCAATGGGGTTATTTGTTTTAGTTTATATCATTATAATGCTTTCTCAGTAGAATTAAGCGTTCTTTTCTTTTTGGTTTGACTATTTTTGCTATTTTAATGCGCAATATTAACCTTAGTGGATTTGTGAAATATCACTTTTGTTTTATGAGTATTCATTAGTAAATATAGCATTTTATGATGATGATGGCATTTGACATAAAGCTAAAACCACTAATTTTCCAAATTGGCAATAGCTGAGAGAAAAATAAGAATATATATGTACTATGTCACATTTTATTATGCAAGTAAATATTTTATACAATAAAACCAGTATCAACCAAAAGATGTTGACAAAAAGGCAATAAAGCCAGTAATACGTATAGGGCTACTGAGTGAGAGAATATGATAGAAAACACTATTAAGGAGAGAGAACAATAAAAGAAAAAGAATTAAGATAAAAGGTGACGATTGACATTGCATTTAAACTTTTGAAGATCAAAGTTGACTGGAAAGCAAGAAGCCAGAAGATTTTCACAAGTGAGAAGTATGATAGAAGAAACTATTAGAATAGAGTTTACAGTTACATCTTGTTATTTCAACAGTAAAATAACCTTGCCACCAATCTAGTACTACATTTAAATTCATAAAGTCTAGGTACTATCGAGAAAAGCTCATCAGAACAATTACCATGAAAGTGTTTATAGAAAAGGCATAAGGAAGCTACTCTATGGTGGTGGGAAAGTAACTGAAGTCGAGATGTCAGGTGCAGGTCAATAACATTGCAGATTCTTCTTTGTATTTTTATCAAGAATCTGTAAATATATAGCTGAAGCACCAAACCAGATTTGGCAGAAATATTCAAAGCATGGACAAATGATAAGCTTAAAAATATTTAAGATTGATTCTGGCAAATTTTTCTAACACAACACAGTGAACCAACTTTCCTAGCAGCAGACCTAGAAATTGATTTAATATAATCTTTCCACTTCATGTCACCTATATTCATATGCTAAATATGTCATGTGAATTTCAGCTTTTAATATGTTTTATTAGAAATATTTAAAATGAAACTTATTTGTTGATGTAAGATTTTATTAAGCAATTTGTGGGTTGTTAATCATAATGTGAAAATGTAAATAAAAATAAAGGGTGTTCCAATAACTTGGACCGATTTTAAATGTGAATTAAGTTTAAGCATCTGATGATTTTTTTTCTTTTTCTTTTAGATTTAACAACTTAAGTCTTTGGCAATTTCAACCATAGAAAGATTAACAATCAAACCATCTGGTAAAGTTATTGAAGTCTATTATAAAAATGGACGTTCAAACAGAATTTGAATGAGAAGTTCCCAGGTTGCATCATCTCTCAAAACAGCAAAGTCAATTGGCCATCCTGATCATGTGATTTGACACTTTTAGATTTCTTCCTTTGGGGGTCATTTCAAAAAGTAAGGTCTATGCCAACAAGCCAACAGCAATTCAACAGCTGAAAGATGAGGTAATAAAGCATATTGATGAGATCAAGGAGCAACTATGCAGAGACGTTATAAAAAACTTTGACCATTGATTGGGGGTGTGCTGTCAAAGCCTTAGCGGACATTTGGGCAATATTATTTTTCACACATAATTGTCATGACTTAAATAATGTGATCCAATAGAGAAACAAAGAAATGTTCACCAATAACATTAATTTATTTACTGCTGACTTTGATTCATCTTAATGAAACACTCTTTAGTATAGTTATTGATATTTTTAAAATGTTTATATATATATATATATATATATATATATATAAAAAAAGTTTATCATGGGTTGTGAGAAAGATATAACTTCAAAAGAGAAAAAAGTTATTGAGTGACAGAACCAAAATGTTAGGAACTACCACAGACATCTGAGAATTGAAAATGTTAGCAAAATATGAACAAGAAAAAATAGCTTTAAGAATGATACAAAATGGAATTTGTGAAAAAGGGATTGACCAAAATGAGAATATTTAAATAAGCTGGCTTTGCAAATGTAAATAGAGAAAAGATGCAGAACATTGGCTAAAGGCATAAAAGCAACCAAACTATAACCTTTAAGTAAATATCACAAAGAGAATTGTGTCAGTTAGGCTAAGAAATACATGAAAACTGATTTCTCAACAGTAATTTTTAGAGATAAATATAGAGCTACATTGGATGGATATGGCAGCTGCCCCAGGAGGATAAGTTCTTCATGGAAATGGTCAACTGATATAAGTTAGAAGACAATGGTGGAAGGTGAAATATTCTTTTAGACATTGTAAGCAGTAAACTCCTCCTTTAAAGTTGATGACAGTGTCAAGATAAATGCAGTGAGCTGTAGGGAAGAAGAAGAAGAAGAAGAAGAAGAGTTAGAATTTTTGGATACTTGTATATCCATGATAACAAGGATTATATTATTATTTTTCTTTTTTTAGTATTTGGCCAATATTTATCCATATGGGTACCTCATGTGAAACTGACCATGTGTGACACTTTATCAATATGAGGAGGTAGGTAAATATAAAATCAGATTGTAGTATCTGTGTGCTTTGTAAAAAGTGTTATACACAGGAAGATATATATATGTAACATCATGAAGAGGTTTGGAATCCCCAAGACCAGACTCACTGAACTGTAATAGGGATTGGAGGCAGATTGGTGGAGAGTGTCACTTTGACCCTAGGCAGAGAGCCCACATAATCTGATACAAGGCAAAAGTTCTCATCTATATGGTTGATGATGGTGTCAAGATAAATGCAGCAAGTAATTTCTTGAACAGGAGGTTTTCTTGATTGGTACAAGTTACAGCAAAGAAGATCTAAGCTAAACATTATATTCATTCGTTGGCAATACTGACTATTGCTTACTTTGATAAAAAAAGGTTTCAGTGAAAGCGAAATTAATAGAATGGCTTTTCCAGATATTAATCCAATAGAAAAGTTGAGGTCCATCATTAAAAAACAAGACATTGTAAAATTAGTGCATGATGAGAACTCAACATTGGAAACTGGAAAGAAAGAAATTTGAACAGAGATCGCAGAACAATCTTCAAAGAAACTGAAAACTTTGGCAAGAGATGAATGAAAAAGTAGGCTTTAAGAATATCGTGTAAAGAGCTTTGAGAAAAGTTGAAAGGGGTAATAATCAAGCAAAGTGGATTTATCAGCAGGAAAATATTTGGTGTTTGAATGTAAACAAGGAGAAAAGATGCAGAATGTTAAGAACACTGGGAAAGTAACCAAACTACCATCATTTGAATAAATACCATTAAGAAAAATATGTAAATTATACAAAGAAATACAACTGATTTTTCAGCAATAATTTTACTGATGAATGTAGAGCTACATTGGGTAGACCTGAAAGTTGGTTCTTTCACAGAAATAATCAACTTAGAAGACTAAGGATGGTTTGAAAATAAATACAGAGTATCATTCTAAGTTTCTAAACATGATGTTTTCTGAATGGCACAGTTTAGAACCAAGAAGCTTTAAAGTTAAGAGTATATTCATACAAAAAAAAAAAAAAAAAATGCTTCTTCACATTCAGAAAATGTGACTATTCCTAAAAATATGGTTTCAAAGACACCAAATGAATGGAATGTCCCAAGACTCACCAGATATTAATCTATTAGAAAAAAAAAAAAAAAAACGTGCTAATGAAGAAAAACAAGTAGGATGTGTATAAATTATATTTATAATATATTATTTAAGTGCAAATACCCTTGGGAAAGATATAAATCCACCTCTTCTCCTCCAAGATATGGGTTAATTAGTCGGATTTGTATCAGTAAATCATTATTATCTACAAAAACTTATAACCAAAAAATATTTTATTCTAGTTCACACTCCTCCTTAGTCTTTTGAGCAGGGGTATAGGTTTATCTCTTGATCCCTGTTTAAGATT